CACCAGTGCAATAGAGTTTTTCTTCCAAGGCATAGGATATTTTGTCTACCAATCTGTGCACTTGATGAACGGTGGAGTGGCTGTTGCGGAAACCAAATTGAGGGTTAGGTAAAATATTTGCAGTGCCGACAATGGGTATGATACGTTTTAGTAGGAGTTTCTCGAATAACTTTGAAAGTATTGGGAGTANAGTTTCTCGAATAACTTTGAAAGTATTGGGAGAAGACTGATTGGTCTATAAGAAGTCGGGGAGTCCGGGGGCTTTTTGGGTTTTAATATGAGAATTATAGTAGAGTATTTCCAGAGAATAGGGAAATAAGATAATCTGAGCATTGCATTGTATATTTGTGTTAGGAATAAGATAGATTTTTTAGGTAAATTTTTGATTAAATCTGCAGTTATTAGATCAAATCCGGGGGATTTTTTTCCTGGGAGCTTTTTAATATTAAAGTAAACTTCACCAGGGGAGAAGGCTCTAGGAGGAGGGGACATCTGCAGTGGAGAGTTGATAAAGCTTTCAACTTCTTGGATTTTGCTGGGTGATAAAATGTTATAATGCGGTTGGAAGGTATTTTCTAGATGTTTCATAAATATGTTTGATTTATCTTGGTCAGAGACCGCCCAGGTACCATCGTCGTTACGTAGAGTAGGGGGTGGATTTTGAATACGTAAAAGTTTTCTAGAGGCCTTCCAAAGTGAACCATCATTATGTGAAAGTGAAGATACGTAGTTTGCATAAGCTTCAGATTTATGACTAGCAAGGAGGCGTTTAAGTTTTAGTGCAAGGGCGTTATAGTGACGCTTATCAGATGGGTATCTGGAGTGTTGCCAGATTGCTCGTGCACGACGTTTCAGTGATATGAGGTTCCTAATGTGTATAGGAAGATTAAATTCAGTCTTTCTTGGAGGAGGTTGGATNAATATTTAACTTTTTGCATCCACTGTGCAAAATACTCTCTATAAGATGGTATATTTTTTACCCTTTCACTACTAGAGAACTGGCTCCATAAACTTAACTGTATACCACGCGACCAGTATTCATCAATAAATAACTGTTTAAAATTGTCATAGTCATTACACAAATAATTAATCACAGAAAACCAATTA